GTACTCGGGTCTTGTACTTGAGTAAAAGTAGAAGTACCAGAGTGTAGGAATACTCTGTTACAGTAAAAGTCCTGCATTCAAAATGTTCCTCAAGTAAAAGTAGAAAAGTATTCTCATCAAAATATAGTTAAAGTAGCGACAGTAAAAGTAGTCATTGTGCAGATTGGTCATTTCAGAATAATATATATGATATGTTTTATAATGATTGATCATTAAAGTGTTCTCAAAGCTGGTAAAGGGGCAGCTAGTTTGAATGACTTTGTATACTGCAGGGTAGCTTGTGAATTTACTCCAGGTGGAACTCAAGTCTGATTTAACACTTGATTAGATTTCACATCATTCATCCAGATCTGTAAAGTAACTAAAGGTATTAAATACATGTAGTGGAGTAAAAGTACACCATTTACCTCTGAACTGTAGTGGAGAAGAAGAACAAAGTAGCAAAACATTGAAATACTTAAATAAAGTACAAGTATCTCAAAATTGTACCCAAGTATAGTACTTGAGTTTATGAACTTAGTTACTTTACACCACTGGCTATAAAGATAGAAAGACTAAGCCTTGCACAGAGGCATTTTCAAAATGCTCAACAGTGCTGCCAAAATTATAAACTGACTGCTACACAATTAAAATAAATGCTTTTATATATTTCTACTATAGATGTGACTCTTTGGCGTTTCTGTTATTAACTGCTTTAGTTGTTCTGACTGCTAAAATCCTCTGTTATTCCTCATTTTAAAGCCGATATTCCGTGGGGTCGGGGGGCTCGGATCCTTGTCACCTTTTTCATACCTGATGAGTTTGCATCCCTGAATAATAATTTAAAGGGGACCTATCATGCAAAATGCACTTTTGTGCATCTTTTACACATGAATATGTGTCCCCGGTGTTCCAGGGAACTCACCAAGTGTCAGAAAACACAACCCTCTCTATTTTCCTCCATACCCAAATCTCTAAAAACGGGGCTGCAACAGATCTGATAAAAACTGATCCAGATTTGAACACTTTGCTGACGTCAGGACGGTGGCGCTACGGCTATTGGGCCAACTCTCCACCTATCTGGGGAATGTGGGGTTGGGCCACGGCCATTGCCCAACCTCTCATTCGCATATAGGCTGTCGGCAGGCTAAAGCTCCCCCAGTCACATCTATGTTTTTGCGTACTCTAACAACGACGTCGTCCAAGGGAGTTAAACGTTGTGCTGTTGTTGGCTGCAATAATCTGGACAAGGGCAAGGTACTGCATGCACTGCCATCTCTGGAAAAAGACAGGAATCTGTGGCTAGAGTTTATTTTCCAGGGACATGTGCCAGAAGAATACAGCAGATTTCTGCTTGTGTGTTGACAACATTTTGCCCCGGACATGTTTATGAACTTCACTCAAGTCAAAGAAGGATTTGCCTCCAAACTAAGGCTAAAACCGGGATCAATACCCACCATCCGGGACCAGGCCAGTGAGGCCACATCCAATTTGGAAGCTGTACGTTTTTATTTAGCGGTGTTTTTCCTGATAAAGCTATTCTAGCTTGTAGCATGTAGCATGTAGCTTCACCGTATCAATGTCGCCTCAAACCCAAACAGTAATCGGTTAGATGTTTATATGTTTTTGTAACATTTTATTTTATTTTGTACGCTCCGCTGTCTTTGCTTTTATTTTAATTATCAGGCATTTGATAACATGCTCAGACATACTGCCGCAATGGCGATCTGTGTGAAGGCTGTAAAGCCACGCCATAGAAGATAACACAAGTATTTATTCTCGTATTTATTAGTATTTTGTATCCTCTAAAATCATATAAAGTAAGTTATAATAACAAATGTAATCTTCTGTAGCTAAGTGCCATTTTTTGCAGCGTTATATGTACAAGCTTTTGTGATTGTAGTCTGTAAGAATGATCAGATATCATCGATCTGTAAGCTACGCTACGCTAATGAGACACGCCGTATGTAAAAGCTTTTATGCGTTTACTTGTTAGCGCACATTAATTTAAATGGGTGTGTGTGTGCACGACTGTTAGGATCTATGGGGGAGGGGGGAGACACACCACGAGTAAAACCGAGCTAAAGCACCGTTGGTTTGTTGTTGTTGTTGTTGACGGGGCCTTACCTCCAGCAACAGGCTAATTAGTGGCTAGCACTCATTACAGTCAGTCTACTGAGCTCAGCCCCTCTCCAACACATCATCTGTATCCTGTCAGAAACACAGCATGCACGTTACGGTTCCAAACTAACTCAGATTGGAAAAGGCTAAGCAAAGAGCTTTGCTAAATAGACAGTTTTAGCCCCCATCTTTTGGGATTTCAGACTATAATTATCCAAATAGTATTTTCTCATCCTGAATACTAAGTTGAGATGATTTTGTTCTAACTATGTTTTCTTCTTTACAGGCCAGCACCTCACATGCTACCAGTAGATTACCTGTGATGATAGATTCTGCATGTCAGACTGACCCACCGAAGCACCGTACGTACACATTCCGTAAGTGTTTAAAATATTTATTATACAACTATTTACACAACAAAATGTACACCTTACATTGGATATTTCACATTTCAAATCTCTTTCAAAAGAAACTGCAGCGTTACAACAACAATGGCAGAAGTAAAAGAGTACACTCTCAGTTTTTTCACATGCATACACAAATCTAAACCAAATATTTGTTTTGCTTTTTTTTAATATTGCACAGGCTACGTTGCCAACTTGATGGACCTCATCTTCGACCAAGTCTTTGTGGACCCTGCACCATTCACACAGGAGCTTTTGAAGATACCCATCCCAGTGGACCTGTGTTCCCAATATGAGCGACCTGACAGGGAGGAGGTCATCGCAGGTTATACACGGTTCAATTTGGCTGCTGTCTGAACCCAACAAAGACATTTTGCGGATCAGGAAACTCCCTGCGAATCCTGAGGACAACGCAGGCCGGAATCACCACTCTGATCCTGCGTCCAATGAAGCCCCAACACCAGCTCACAAAAGTTCTGTAGGCTAGATACCTGTGACGCCTGAAATAATTTCAAAGAATATTTAGTGAAAAGCCTATGTCATTTATGTAAAATACAAGTACATTTACTTTATTTGTATGGGTTCAAAGAACCTTTGCTTTTAACAATAAAGTTCCGACAGTTTATATCAAATGTGTCATGATTATTCATGTTGGATGGGTAAAGTATATGCTGATTTCAAAAGCATAAGGTTGTGTGTGTGGACTTTTTTTGTCATCAACAAATGGGTGTGTTATGCCATTGCTGTGTAGTATATGTAATATAATAGTAACGCCATGTACAATGACAGAATGAAATGAAAGATTGCATAAAACCATATACACCAGTATTTATTTTCATGAACAATATTAGCATATGTTTTACAAATTCAGTCAAAAGAAACAAACCACTCACTGCTGTATTTGCCTCATCTGTAGTCTCCCATATTCAGCTCTGTATATATTCAATGCATTCTGCAGGGAGAACACATTTAGGCACACAGGCTCCAAACCAGGATGGTCCACCATACAACGCACCGAGTCCTCAAGTTCCTGCATCCGTCTTGACACCTAGTGAGATAAACATATATTGAATGACATGTGAAAAATGTATTCTCTAAACAGAATACTTAGTGAAGCTATCAAAAATGGTACCTGTGGTATCTCAATGCAGCACACATTCTCAGGTTCCGAAGGCATTGTGGCGCAATTTCCACATGTACACCTGTATAAAGAAGTCAATAAATGAATAAATGTTTATTGTATGATATATGTAGCCTACCGCTGTTTTTGCGTTACAAACTACACATTTCATTCTTGCTAATTAGCCAAAATATGAACGGAATAAGTAGCAAGCATCGTAACAACAAACAGAGTTAACGTAAAATAAATAGGGACAAAAGTGTGTCAACTAACCATTCAGAAAGGTCCTGCTGCAACAGAGATATTTGCACTTCCACCGAAACCTCGTCTCCTTCAGTGTCCGATTCTGGATCATACTCATCAAAATACGCTTGAACGCATGCATTTCTCTGGGAGGACATGTTTCTTCTCGTCTAGTTTTCAAAACAAGCATGGTAACATGACGCTCGTGCCGGGGCCGTGTCATGCCCCCCTCTTCTGCAGGAGGGCGTGGTCAGCTGCAGCTCAAGCTAAGTCACAGAATCAGCCCTTGCAAAAACAGGCCTGGAGAACAGCAAATAGAGCGAAATGAGGCATGGCTAAAATGCATGATCTGTTTGGTATTTTGAAAAAAGAAACGTATAAATATACCTTATATAGGTATGGCCCTACAATATATCATTTAAATATAGCATGATAGGTCCACTTTAAATATCTTACAAAAAGTCAATGAAATACTTCACATATAAGGCAATTTTTTCTGCCCAATGATGACTTTTACTTTCTATACTTTGAAGCTCACCTATTATGCTATATTTGAACAATATATTATAGGGCCACATCTATACAAAACATGTCTCTGAAGTGTTTTGCTCAAAATACCAAACAGATCACCCATTGTAGCATGCCTCATATTACTTCCAAAACACGTCGCTCATTGTTTCTGATACAGCGACGTTTCTGATAGTCCCGTGGGTGTAAAGCCAGCCCACATTTTTAGTAATGTCGTCATGACCGCAGCAAATCTGGATCAGCTCCGTTGCACCCCGTTTTTAGAGATTTGGGTAAGGAGGAAAAGAGAGAGGGTTGTATTTCCTGACACTTTGTGAGTCTCCTGACACACCGGGGACACATTTATGTATAAAAGACATTGCATGATAGGTGACCTTTAAGTACATTTTGCTGATAATACTTTTGTACTTAAACTTCAGTAAGACTTTGAATGAAGGACTATTAGTAAATAAGTATTTCGACAGTAATGTATCAATAGTTTTACTCCAGTAAAGCATGGTCTGAACAGTTCTTCCTAGTTAACCTGTGATAGCTGTATCAAGTCCCACTCACTGCACGTTAAAACTGACCCAGGATAGACAACCATTATTATGCGCACATTTTACCTGAACCGGGTTTTACTCAGAACTGCAGTCAGACCCTGGGTGTGAAGGGGGTCCAGGAGGTAGCCTACCTGCGAGAGACGGATCCTCCTCCGGCTCGGGACCCGGGCCTTCATCCTCCGGGACAGCGCCAGCAGCTTGTTGTGTCTCTGCCTCCTCTTCAGCTTCTCCGCCTCCTCTCTCTGCTTCTCCTCCACACAGTCCGAGTCGGACTCTTCCTGTCGCTTCAGCCGGATCCGCTTCCTGGGCTGCGACATCCTCTTCGGCTGGCTCGTGTCCCCCTCTTCATCATTAGTTGTGTCCTCCTCTCCGGGGCTGGAAGAAGAGGAGCTGTTGTCCCCTCCCAGAAAGGAGCGCTTTCTGCGGGTCACGGAGCGGCTGTCATCGCTGGAAGTCGCCCCGGAGCCGCTTCGGCCCCGGTCCTCCTGCTCGCTATCTTCCTCCGGGGAGCTCAGGAAGTCGGACTGGGATCCGGAGGAGGAGGATGTGAAGGAGCCTTCGTCACTGTCGTCCAGGATCGAAGCAGGCAGGCCGATCTGCTTTTTCTTCGATGCGTCCACTTTGGTTTTCCGCATGGAAGCGAACATTTTGCGCTTGTACAAACTCTCCATGTCTGCGCGTTAGCAGGGAGCAGTGACATTAAACAGAAACACAGAGCGGGAAGTGAGCAGCTAGCGGGACAGCTAGGTATCACGTCACAACCACGAAGGCATGCTATTGCTGTGAAGAACACAACATGGCGCGGAGCTCACCTCCATGAAGAGTTATGTTTACAACACTCACGGACACCTTCTGCTTATATGTGTTCTAATGTGAATTTTGAGCTAAATACGGGGTATTTCGTAGTTGTTTTTCCGAGAGCAGCTAGTTGTGTGTTATTGTTTTTGCTCATGCGTCTTCTTCGCTGTGAGGAATTACAGCACAGACGGTTAGCCCGCCCCCTGCGGCGTGGAGCGGACACTACCCTTTCTTCTTCGTTGGTTTTAGCAGAATAGAGCAAGCCCCCAGGAAGTGCGCCGGACTCTGATGAAAATATTCGTTGTGTCCAAACGGGGGTACTACAATTTCCGTATCAGTCCGTGACGTCACTGGGCCCAGAAAGACTTTTCCCCATTGACTAACATTGGGAAAGAGACGTCTGTAAATGAGCGGATACTTTTTTTAAAACTAAATAAACTACCCAGTATGAACTATTGTATAGCCCTTATTATAATCATTAGGTCCTTAAAGTTGTAAAATGCACTAAAAGCCGAATCTAGATTTATTTTCTGTCTCCATTCATTCTACTGAGCCGAGAGCATGGATGTATAATAGAGTGGCGAAGTCACGCCCACCTACTTCCGGGTAATGGGACCTTATTTCGGAAAAATTATGCATTGAAGTCAATGGGGAGAGAAAACTTATCTTTCGATCCCGTTTGAATTGTGCCATGAATTACACATATGATGTTTGTCAATCTTAAAAAATAATTTCCATGTCAAAAAAGTCACAGTTTGTCGTAAAACTGTTGAAATATAAGACTATGAAAAATACGTAACTAGAAAGACTACAAATCCCAGAGTCGCGTAAGTGATGTCACAATTGTTTTCCTCCACCATTCAGATACCTAAGATCAGCGCAATATAGATATAATCTATCTATATGGCGCTGGCTAAGATAAGATAACTTTAACAAGATGCCTGTGTGCTTAGTACCAGGTTGTTATTATACCAGCAATGGGTCTTGCTCGTTCTTTTGCTTCCCGTCTGATGAAAGGACCAGGAGTGGCTTGATCAAGTTAGCTACCTAGCTAGTAGCTAGCACGTTAGTTAGCATTACAGCCTTGTAATTTTTATTAGCCTTAACATGAAGTAACATTAAGTAACCCAAAATGTTAAACAGTAAGAGTAGTAGTCATATTTCGTGAACCCTTTGAATAGTACTGTCACCGGTGTGATCATTCTATAATACACCATTTAAGCCCGGGGGAGAAATGCTAACGCTAACGTTAGCATCGGCGATCATCTCTACTTCATGCTATCTGCACAAATGGTTGACATTAAACATTAAAACGACCAGGCAGTTCAGAGAGAATCAAAGGAAGGCAGGCAGGCAGCTTTGCATGACATTCTTCAGGACGTGTTTCATTGTGGTGTTAGTGAGGGTAGTCAATCGTTTTGTTGACAAGACAGTAGTGACGGCCATCTTGGTGACGTGTGTTGTTGACCAGAGATGTAGTTCATTGAGCGTTTCACACAAACAAATGTGTTACTTCACAGTTTTACGACACATTTTTTTTTTTTTGACTTGACAACACACGTCACCAAGATGGCCGTCACTACTGTCTTGTCAACAAAACGATTGACCAACCTCACTATCACCACAATGAAACACGTCCTGAAGAATGTCATGCAAAGCTACCTGCCTGCCTTCCTTTGATTCTCTCTGAACTGCCTGGTCGTTTTAATGTTTAATGTCAACCATTTGTGCAGATAGCATGAAGTAGAGAAGATCGTCGATGCTAGCGTTAGCGTTAGCATTTTTCCCCCGGGCTTAAATTGTGTATTATAGAATGATCAGACAGTACTCTTCAAAGGGTTCACGAAATATGACTACTATTGGGTAGTTTAATGTAAAGTAATGCAGTTGTCCTGTGTATATATGTATTGCTTTTGGCTCTATGTCTTCGTCCTATGTATGTGATTTTTTTGTGTGCTGAAAATCAATAAACATATTGATAACAAAAAAGAATAACCAAAACCTCCAAGACTATGATAGATTTATTATTTACAAACAAAGCTGACTAGTTGAATAGTTCAAACCTACAACTTCCTGACTGGTCTTTCTGACCATAATCTTGTTCTTTTTGCCAGGAAACTCACAAAAAAAAGGTTCATGGCCACACCTAAAACCCCTGCCTTGGGTTCTCGCTTCATCCCCAAAAACCTGCAACAACGTTTTATGGAAGCAGTGAAAATGATTAATTGGGGGGACACTCTGTCCTCTGAAGACATTGGTGAAAACAGTAATCTGTTTATACCTAAAATGAATGATGCAATGTCTTCCTTCTCAAGGAGAGGGTCAGTTAGGGACAGGAAGGAACGTCATCTTCCCTGGCTGAATCTATAGTGCAGGAATTTGATTAAATCCAGAGACCAACTATTAAAGCAGAGCTTAAAATCCGGACTATCCACTGATAGACAGAAATTCACTCAATTTGACAACTTTATTAATAGAGCAGATGAAAATATTTGTGGAAGGATAAATTCTTCAATGGCTCTCTAGATAAAGGGCGTTTTACTTGCTTGTATCCTCAGATAGTGGTTTGTTTAAAATAACTAGTGACATTTTAATAAATATTGAAGAAAAAGGCTCCAAAAAAGGCATATAACCTGGCCGGCTTAACCAGTCTGTATTTCTTCAAGCACCAAGATTCATAGTTTATAAAGTACAATTCTGGGCCATTGATTGTGTCATTTCTCCAAACACATACAGTAAAAATGCCTGTTTTGAAGCCTTAAAATGGTGCAGGAAAAGGACTTTACATTGTATTATACTTAAAGACAGGTCTATTCAGTTAAGAGAAGAGAAAAAAAGGAAAGCAAATAGTTATAATGGGTGATGTAACATTAATGACAGACATAATATGAGGTCCTTGGCACTCAGACTCTAGAGGGGTCATTTTGTGATCATGGGGCATCACCCTTACAGCATCAGGACAATATCATATGGAGTCAGACACTGGAAGTGTGCTGGAGGCTGATGCGTTGACTGGGACTGATGGAAGGATGAGGCTGATGAGAATGAAGAATCTGCGAGGAACGAACTAGCGGCAGAGAAATAATTATATATTAAAAGACAGCAACATCATAAGAGGCCAACCAGAGTGACAGAGTGTGTCACTTTGCTGAAGGATATTTGTGACCAGCTATTAATCCAGGCCAGTCTCTAAAGACTTTCCAAGGTGTAAAAATGCTGCTGCTGGAGTACTGACTGGAAGTATTGCTGATAATATGTCCACCATATCCTCTTAAAATACTCTGTCCAATAATATCAGTCTCAGGAAGAAAGTTTTTTTAATGCTTATTAAAAATAGCAGAAAAACATGCATTCTTGTTCTCAGGAGGGGACATTGACAGAGGATTACTGGAAAAGTACATATAGTAAAAGTACTTCATAGTACTTGTGGGAGTAGTTTCACTAGTACTGAGTCCAACAGTGTCAATCTCACGAAGAACTAATGGCAAAAATCATTTTTTCCCTCATCAAACTTAACAGAAGTGGCTTGATTTTGTTCTCAGGAGGGGACATTGACAGAGGATTTTTTTTAAAACAACACACTAGAAGTACTTCATTGTATTGTGGTAGTAGGTGTAAGACTACTGAGTCCAGCAGTATCAATATCATTAAGAACTAATGGTAAAATTGTCTTTTTATCATTCATCAAAGATAGCAGAAAACATGCATTATGTACTATGGAGGGGACTCTGACAGAGGATTATTCACTAAGTACACCGTAAAAGTACTTCATTTTATTTCTGGTAGCAGTCAAACTAGTCCAACAGTGTCAGTTTTATTAAGAACTTATGATAACAAATATTTGTACAAAACAAAAAATACAGGACAAAAAATGAAGAGCAGCTGAATTGAAAAAACAAACTTGAGAGACGGCTGAGGTGACCGCAGTGCAGAATCGCTGTAGTTTAAATCTCCTAACAATGTTGTCCATTTTAGACACAGGCTTATTATATTTACAGACCTTAATAACATTCATTTTCTGGGCTCATTATATGTCTTGGCCGTTTTCGTTGTGATCGCTAAATTCACCTCGTTTCCCCTTGTTTATAATATTATCACCGTTCCAAGCACACGAGTGCTTTTGTTTTGAAATCACTTCCGTGAGTTTCACCCCGCACCTCGCTCCAATGACCATTAGACCATTTAGTAAGGTAAAAAGCAAAAACGCCTCTCAGACGCTCTTCCGTTTACTTGTTTAATAAGGAAAAACAATTGGACGGTAGATACACGGATTCAGGGTCTGTGACAGTTTGTTTTCATCTGATTTCAAATAAACAAAGTCTTGGTTTTTAGAATTTTAAACTTGTTTCGCCAAATTCAGATGATAAATACAACTTTTAAGCTTGTAAAGGCATAATTACAAGCGGTAACTTAACGTCACAGCAGGCATAACAACAGCCTGTGTTTCTTGTGAGTGTTTCCCCGGGCCGCCATTTGCCCATCCCTGGTCTAAAAATCTGTGTATCTACCGTCCAATTGTTTTTCTTTATTAAACACGTAAACGGAAGAGCGTCTGAGAGGCGTTTTTGCTTTTTGCTTTTGACCTTACTAAAACGTCAAATGGTCCTTGGAGCGAGGGGCGGGGCGAAACTCATGGAAGTGATTTCAAAACAAAAGCACTCGTTTTCTTGGAACGGTGATAATATTATAAACAAGGGGGAACTAGGTGAATTTAGCGATCACAACGAAAACGGCCAAGACACATATTGAGCCCAGAAAATGAATGTTATTACGGGTTGTAAATATAATAAGCCTGTGTCTAAAATGGACAACTTTTACGGTGTACTTTGTGAGTAATCCTCTGTCAGAGTCCCCTCCATAATGCATGTTTTCTGCTATATTTGATGAGTGATGTGATAAAAAGACAATTTTACCATTAGTTCTTAATGATATTGATACTGCTGGACTCAGTAGTCTTACACCTACTACCACAATACAATGAAGTACTTCTAGTGTGTTGTTTAAAAAATCCTCTGTCAATGTCCCCTCCTGAGAACAAAATCAAGCCACTTCTGCTAAGTTTGATGAGGGAAAAAAATATGTTTGCCATTAGTTCTTCGTGAGATTGACACTGTTGGACTCAGTACTAGTGAAACTACTCCCACAAGTACTATGAAGTACTTTTACTGTGTACTTTTTGAGTAATCCTCTGTCAATGTCCCCTCCTGAGTACAAGAATGCATGTTTCTCTGCTATTTTTAATCAGCG